GTTTTATCCAGCTGTATTTACTCAGTGCAACTTATAACATTCAAGCAAAAGATATAACACCAACATGTCAGAAAATGTTTTTTAAAAAACAAAAAACAGAATGAGTTTGAAAAAGTTTCACCCCTTCCTAAAAATGACTTGTAAACTCAAGAAGGTGTAACTAATCTACTTCTCAATGGCACGCAAAGCCATTTGACTTTCAACTGTGATCAGCTGTGGTCATTTTGATTAGCTCAGCATGAAAAGAGCTTTCCTGGAGCATTTCAGTCCCTGGTAGCTCAACTAAAGCAAACAATCACCGATGGGTGGCAAGGCACTGTAAAAAGATCTTCGGGATACAGTTGTGGACAGGCACATGTCAGGAGATGGATACAAAAAATTCAAAGGCTTTATCAATGCCTAGATGCACAGTGAAGTGGAAGATATTTGGTACAAGACAGACCATCCATGAATCAGGACGTTGCTCAAAACTGGATGAGGGAGCCAGGAGGAAACTGGTCAGAGAGGCTACAAAGACTACTTGCAACTCTGAAGTAGTTTCAGGAATTTATGACAAAGAGTGCATAGTTGCAAACAGTTACAGATTACCATTCACGGAAATCAGACAGATGTCACACTCAGAGCTTGTCCTGGGCAGAATCCCAAAAATTAGGCTCTGTCACAGACAGCGGGTGTTTGGCACTGATACAGTTAATCACAGCCAGTAGTGTCGCTATTGGGGTGTGGACCACACTCAGGTGACACCACTGGCCTAGCTACTGAGGTCCCATGCACCCCCCTGTCAAACTCACGCCCACCATATGGATTTTTCCAATCTTCAGCCCTGGTACTGGCTTAGCTGGTGATTGGTGGGATCAGCTGAGGAGGGGCTGGGTCCGTCATCTGCTGACTGTCCTGTGCCGAGCCTGACTCCTCAGTGTCACAGCACACTGCATGTACTCTGTGGGCCTGTCTCCCCACCGTCCTGTCCTAGTGTCACTCTTCCCTCCTAGCAGCCTGTGCTCTGACCCTCAATACACCTGTCTTGACTGCCTGGAACAGGCCAGCTCTGATCATAACCCCCCCTTCACCAACTCTGCTCACCACCTCCCTTTTCCATCCCCCAACTCTGCTCATCCCCTTCTTCATTCTCACCCAACTCTGCCTACAGAAAAAAACAAAGTATCCCTAACATTTGTTTGGGACTGTTGGCAACTATGAGAGTGGTAATTGTGTGCATGTGACAGCAATATCACAAATTCTCCACAAATGTGGCTTGTATGGGAGGGTTGGGAAGAAAGGCCACATGCAGTCACGACTGAGCTTTGACAAAATGCACCTTGTAGATTCTGAGGCCACATGGAAAAAGTTGTTATGGTCAGATGAGACTAAAATGGAATTATTTAGCCTCAACACTAAACGATATGTCTGGCGGAAATCCAATGCAGCTCACCATCCAAATAACAGCATTTCTGCATTAAAGCATGGAGGTGCTAATATCCTATTATGGGGGTGCTTCTCTGCAGCAGGGACTGAGCACTTGTCAGGATAGAAGGTAAAATGGATGGGGCAACATCGCATCAAATTCTTGCGTAAATTCTGCTGTCCAGAAAGTTGTCAATGGGAAAAAGACTTACCTTCCAACATGACAATGACCCAAAGTACACAGCAAAAATGACCACACAGTGGTTGAAGGAGAAAAAGCTGAATATCATTGCATGGCCAATCAGAGCTCAGACCCCCCTGAAAATCTGTGGTATGATTTGCAGTCCACACACGGTCACCATCAAATTTAACTGAAATTAAGCAGTTCTGCAAAGAAGCATGGACAAATATTACAAAGTCTAAATGAGCAAAGTTAGTAGAGACATATCCCGACAGACTAAAGGCTGCAATTAAAGCAAAAGGTGCTGACAAAAGGGAGTGATACTTTTTTCCACCTCAGTGATTTCTGTTTTTGAATTTTTTTTCTGATATGTTGGTGTTATATCTTTCAATTGGTTGTTATAAATTGCACTGAGTAAATAGAGCTAGATAAAACAAAAACTGTGTATCTTCATTGCAGGCTGCAAAGCAACAAAATGTGATTATTTAAAATTTTTGCTATAATACAATTGTTTCATCTAGCTGCTCAGTTGACAGCCTGTGTTTTTTCATCTAGCTGCTCACGTGAAAACATGTGTTGTTTCATCTAGCTGCTCAGCTGACAACCTGTGTTGTTTCATCTAGCTGCTCACGTGAAAACCTGTGTTGTTTCATCTAGCTGCTCAGCTGACAACCTGTGTTGTTTCATCTAGCTGCTCACGTGAAAACCTGTGTTGTTTCATCTAGCTGCTCAGCTGACAACCTGTGTTGTGTCATCTAGCTGCTCAGCTGACAACCTGTGTTGTTTCATCTAGCTGCTCAGCTGACAACCTGTGTTGTTTCATCTAGCTGCTCAGCTGACAACCTGTGTTGCTTAATTTTCTGCTCAGGTGACATCCTGTGTTGCATCCAAAAACGTCTGTCCGTAAGATTTCAAAGTAAATCCACACTCAATATTATTAGCTATTTGATTGGTTGATGTATAATAACAGAAAACCTAGCAATTTAAAGGTTAAAGCAGAGCTCCACCCAAAATGGGAAGTTCCTCTTTAAGCCTTTGTCCCCTGCTCCCCATTAAGGATTGGCACCTTTGCGGAGCAGGGGGGAGCGGGTACCCGAATACGACAGGAACCCGCTACCACTTCCCTGCGATTGCATAGGTGATCGGAAGCGGAAATTGTCCTCCCCCCCTCCTTCCCCGTAGTTTTCTGGGACACGCAACAGGTCCCAGAAGACTACGGGGCCATTCACAAAGCGCAGCACTTCTCGTGCATGCGCAGTGGGCACCTAGCTGTGAAATCACAAGCTGTCACAGATGGGTGCCCACACTGAAGATGCCGGCGCCAGGGAGAGAAGACGGCTGGTGAAGACACTGCTGGACCGAGGGACAGGTAAGTGGCTGTATTTTAAAAGTCAGCAGCTACAGTTTTTGTAGCTGCTGCCTTTTATTTTTATTTTAGGTAGAACTCCGCTTTAAGGATAAGGTAAAAAAAAAAAAAAAAGTGCATTTATTATTTTTGTTTCTTGAGCCTCTAAAGCAGTGGTACCTTCCTAATGCCGCGACCCTTTAATACAGTTCCTCATGTTGTGGTGACCCCCAACCATAAAATTATTTATCCAGTAATTATATTTCATGAAGTGTCGTTTTACCTCCAATACTGCTGCTTTCAACACAGTAGCTGCTTTTAACAGAGTAGCTGCTTTCAACACAGCAGCTGCTTTCTACACAGTAGCTGCTCTTTACACATCGGAAATATGTGTTTTCTGATGGTCTTAGGCGACCCCTGTGAAAGGGTTGTTCGACCCCCAAAGGGGCGCGACCCACAGGTTGAGAACCACTGCTCTAAAGCATTGCATTAGCAATCAGCAGATCGCTGGTGCCATGCTGGTCTCCTGCAGACCTGTCAGTGTATCTGTGTAGCCATACACCTCATGCAAGCAAGTAGATACTTACTGACAGGAAGACTCAATGAACTACCACGGTGCTCCACAGCTGTCGGAATGAGTGGCGCAGCCGGGCGCCTTTTTTTTAAATTGTGAGAGCTAGCAGGGAGGAGAAGATCCCCCAATAGCTGTCACAACAGGGATTGGGGGAGTGTGGGGGCCAATCCATTCGTAACATGTTACATCCTGAATATGGGTGTGACATGTAACATGTTACAAAAGGTGAACTTTTCCTTTAAATTAGGCTATTTGAAAATTTAAAGAGTTTTTTTTTTACTTCCAAACAAAAGCAATTCTTGAGTCACCTATGAACTTCACAGATTAAATAAGTAGGTGTACTGCATGGATTATGCCAGGGTCTCCAAACACTTCAGTATGAGGGCCACATCATTTTACAATAATTTGCAGACTGCAAAAAAAAGTAAATTGTTTTATAAATGAATATGTGTTACTTTGATTTCTTGTGTAATTTCTTATTCAGAAAAACAGAGAAGGAATTTCAGAAAAGCAAAGCAAAAAAATTCCAAATAAATTTAGGCCAATCAGTGTTCCACTTACACCAGAGTCCTCCTCAAAGTCCACCCTTATATCAGGCTCCCCATAAGTCCCCCTTTAAATGACAGTGGACAGTGCAAGGCAGGAGTGAGGTAAGACAGAAATTGAGCATGATTTTGAGCATGACCGACAGATTGATAGTCAGATGTCCAATCACACTTGGACTCTACAGATGCTACAGCACACTCAGTAAATAATCCCAAACCTCATAACAAAAGTGAGAAGGCTCCTGTGTCATAATGTAGACACCAGCTACAGAAGTGCAGTAAGGAGGATTCACAACATACATTAAAATACTTAATCCAGAAACAGACATTCTGCAAAAAGATTCCTCAGAATGCTGGTTATCATTGTGCTTAAGTGACACTAAACCATATCCTTATTTTTCAAAAATGGTCCATACACATCATCTACCTAATGGCCCTGTAGTTATTTTTTATGAAATTGTTTCTTACTGTATTCTTAATTCCTCCTTGTAATGTCCTCTGTAAGCTCCTGAACCTCTTCATTTCCTCTCATGTCCATTTGTTTGGAATGAGCAATGCATGTTAGTTGCAGTTATGTACACTGCTTTATGCACACTACAAATCCCATAATCCCTAGTCCCCAGTCCATCTTGGGAGTGAGCAAAACAAGGTGGCTACATCTCAACATTCAGTGGGACCATGGAGAACAAATGTAGCCACTCTCTAACAGGAAGTCAGGCAGTCTGCTCTCAGCAAACAAAAATGAATTTGGAAATTTGGAGGAGGCTGCCAAGCTTCTTTTGTGACCAAAAAATACATATTTGAATACAATGTTTTTTTTAAACCAGATTTTAGTATCACTTTAATGATATTTTAAACATCATAATGATCTACAGTACATGCTGAAGCAATGAAGATTACAATAAAAATAACAGTATAAACAAAAATCATATAAAACCATTCATCATTTACCTCTTTAGACCTCTTGATTATCTTATCATCAATATCTGTTATTACCATCACCATAACAATATCGATGCCAAAGAACTGGGTCATAACCCTCCGAATTATGTCAAATCGAACATAAGAGCTAAAATGAAATGAAAAAGGGTGAAAAATCTAAATCCACAGCTAGATTTAATTTGAAAAGATCAGAGTTATCAACCTCATCCAGTTTTCTCAATTAATCAAATCAGATATTTAAAGGGTTTCTGAAATAAAATATTGAATATGAAATTTGTTCTATTTTTTTTTTTTTTTAAAGGTATTCCAGTTTAGAACCCTTCTTGGAAACCAAAGCATGAACATCTTCAGCCCCTAATGATTACCAGCAGAGGTTTGTTTTTTTAAATAAGATCTTAAAAGAGAACTAAAAGGCACAACTTTTTCCTGATGTCAACATTGCAGCATACATATAATATAGCTCTGCCCCTATCTCCACCCACAGGACTTGTTTAAATCTATAAAAGGAAGTAAAGAGAGATCCACTCCATTCACCCTTTTATCCTTAAGATCTACACCTGTAAGACTATGATGTTAAGATAAGTGCCATTTCTGTCAAGTGAGTCAGAGTTTTCCTGGGTTCAGCGCAGTCCCACATCTTCGGTTGCTAAAGGCGCCAACAAAATAAGGAGCCCATTTGGTGGTCTTTTTGGGTTGAGAAGTTGTCTAACTAGAGAAGTCGCAACCTCATATGGTGCATCTGAGATGGTGTTTGGATGCTGTAGATCTCAGTTGGAGACTCATTGACTGCTTGCCCAAGAAGGCTCATCTCGAAGTTCAGGGCAGTGCATGCAAAATGTCTATGGACACCATCTGCAAAGCAGCAAGCTAGTTGCCGCAGTGCACCTGCCTCAGGCGCTACAGGGAAGATCCAGGGGGTTGCAAAATTAAGCTTCAGGCTTTCAGGTCCATTGTAATACAATTTGATTATACATTTTAGCTCTCCCTGTTTAACTCGTTAGGCATCATATGTATGCTGCCATGAAGGAGTTGGGAAAACTGAAAATTGTATCAAATGCTTACTGTAATTTTCCTTTCTCAACACCAATCTATGGCAGCCAATGAACCTTCTCTTTTGATCTTGTTATTTTTTTTATAGAGAATGGGACGGGCCTCTCGTTACTTCCTTGTATACATTTAAAGAGGTCGTTTGGGTGGAACTATATCATATGTATACTGCCATGGATTGAGATCAAAAAAGGAAATTTACGATAAGTATTTGACTCAATTTTCTGGAGTTTTTTTTTCCGGATAGGGTAAGGGAAAGTTATGACCACTGTAGGGATTATTTTTGCCATCTGTTTCCCTTCACTTTCTGGCCCATAACTAAAACAGGAAGTGAGAGAAAATCCCTCTAGTCCTTGACTGCCACCAGGGTTATCAGAACTAGTGTCACCATTGGAAGAATTCCCTATAGTTAGGGTTCTGGTGTCAATTGGGATTTTCTTTTACTCTCACTTTTGAAGATAATGGTTAAAGGGTCTAATAGAGAGAATTAACTTCCCTAATGGGGGTACAGACACCATTAAAAGCATGTCAGGCTTTTCTAATTCTAGGTTCTTTTCTGGGTTTTAGGCTTTTCTAGGTTCTAATTCCCCTCCACTCTTCCTAAATCCAAAAAAGTTTTGCCTTTAGTTTTACTTTAATGTCAGTGCTAAGGGCAGTGGAGTACCATGGCACCAAAGTCCCCAGGTACAAAGATGATGCTGCCACAGGCCAACACATATTGACTTGCCAGTGATGATGTCATTGTGCATGAACATCAGGAGCATATAGTCATTGCTCTTGGGCAAAGGAGGCTAGCGATCTGTCATTTCTGCACTGTCACCCAGTTTTTCCTGATGTGCACTCTCCAAAGGAATATGTTAAAAGTCCTACACCTTACCAAAGTGAAATATAATTACAAGTGGAAGTGAATTACTACATTTTATTATAACAGCAGCACAAAGGTATAAACTGTAATTTATACAGATTTTCTCAATACAAAAAACTCCAATGTTAATACTAAAAGCTATGTAGGATCCTATATATACACATTTACACCAACCTACCAATCAAATCATATACTGGAATTAAAATCCTGCTGACAGTTTAATAGGGATGTTTCTATCATTAATATGTAAAATGCCCTTGTCTGATACAAGTGTTCCTTGTATTTGATGACAAGGATGTAAAGTAATAGCTCACCATGCATGCCCGAGATGTGCATGATCATAAACTGTAGGCCCACAGCTATACCTGGAAGAAAGAATATACAGTCAAATCCTGGAATTTTATATAAAAAATAATCAACATAAAAAGAAAGCTCAGAAGGTAAAAAAGGTAGAACAGTCACTGGGAAGAGAAGCGAGCATAAGAGGAAATCACAAATCCTATTGCCTTGAGCTTAGCTTTGACTTCAAGCACAAATGTACATTGACAGTTACATTAGCCGTAGGATTTAATATATCAGAATCATATGAATGTGCCAGATCAAAGTCTAAATCTAAACGTTTTTTGTAAAGCCATACAGGCAGTTCTTATTAGAGACACTGCAATACAAAACTCATTAAAGTGGACCTGTTAGTGTATTTATTTTTTTACAAATGTATTTTTTTGTTATTAAAAAACTACCTTTGCTTTTCAATCTGCAGCTCTGTATTTTTCTGTAAAATTCAATGCAAGAAGACAACCTGGAGGCGTTCTTTACACCTTTTTTACATTTCTATTTTATATACTTTTTATAGAGTTCTCCTCTAGCAGGGAGAAACAGATACTATGTGGGAAATTTACTAAGATTGGAGCAGTAGGAATCTGGAGCAGCTGTGTGCGGCAACCAATCAGCTTCTACCTTTTCTTTTCAAAGCAAAAGCTACAAGCTGATTGGTTGTCTTTCAAAGCTGCTTCAGAGTTTGTCTATGCCAGTTTCATAAAATTCCCCCTAAATGTATCTTTTTTTCCTCAAAGAAGAGAAACAGTACAGAGGCGGGTTCCAAAACTAGTAAGCACTGTGATTGGCTAACACAGTGATTACCTGATTGGTCCTCTTAGCTCCCAATCATTAGTCTGAGACCAGAAGCTGCTGGGGACAGCCCAGTCTCTGTGCTGAGAGCACATGATAGAGCATATATACATATATGTGGGACCATGAAAGAAAGACAACTTCCATGATAGCACATATGCATTCGATTGCCAAAGAAAAAAGCAGCTCATTATTTTACTTTTTTTTTTATTTACAAATAGAAGAAAAACAATAAAAATTGTACAGTGGCAATAAACAAATGAGTAAATGCACAAAAAAGGAAAAAAAAGAACACAAAGATATAAATTATGAAAAAAATCTAAACTACAATACACTCCCATTTATAAAACAGCACTGGATCCCTGGATAGGTAAGTGTCTTATCCACTTGCTGACCGTAGGCTGTCATATGACGTCCTCAGTTGCAGTGTTTATAACGGGATGATGCCTGCAGGTACAGGCATCACCCCGCTATTAAGATTTTCAGCCAGTGACTCCCATTTATGCACAAATGATTCTGTGGGTTGTGGAAGCAGGCCCCCCCCCCCCCCCACCCACCGGCTATCCTGTTTGGTCGCGGAGCCCAGGAGCGCTCCGACCGGCAGTGATGGGTAAACAGAATAAAGAGGGAGAGAGAGGGGAACTGATGTTGTTCCGCCCTGCCCGTGACCCCCAGGAACCAGAAGCAATGAGATTTCGTCCCTTCTGGTTCTGTCTCTCTGTTTACCTGGCTGCTAGCTGATCAGACCGATCTGTGTCTGATCAGCTGCATTGGAGGTCCTAGGAGAGACCTGAGGTCTATTAGACCCCAAATCTCTCTCCATAAAGAGTACCTGTCATGGCCCATGCTGTCACAAGGGATGTTATTTAAAGAAACTGCAAAAAAAAAAAAAATTTTAAGATAAAATAAATAGAAATAATAAAGAAATAAATGTAAAGTGTCCATCCCCCCGTACTTACGCGCAAATGTGAAAGCATACATAAGTCCTGCGCGCATATATATATATATATATATATATATATATATATATATATACGGTGATCACACCACACGTGAGGTATCGTTGCGAACGCTATAGCGGAAGTAATCATTTTAGCACCAGACATCCTCTATAACTCTAAACTGGTAACCTGCAAAAATTTTTAAAGCGTTGCCTATGGAGATTTTTTTTAAGTACTGTAGTTTGGTGCCATTCCACGGGCGTATGCAATTTTAAAGCATGACATGTTTGCTATCTATTTAATCGGTGTAACATCTTTTACCAACAAATTAGGTATTATATTGTGCTTGTGTGCAATAAAAAGTGTATTTTTTTTTTTTAAATTGCATTTTTTTTTTTTATGTCACTGCATGACATAAAAAAAGTGCAAAACCCATAATTTTATTCTATAGGGCCTCTGCTAAAAAATATATTTAATTTTAGGGGGTTCTGAGTAATTTTCTAGCAAAAAACAAAAAAAATGTAGATGTTTACATGTAGGAGAGGAGTGTCTGAATTGGCTTAGGCAGCAAGAGGTTAATAACAAAAGCCCAGCAGCTACAATATTTGTTGACTGGATGTTCAATCATTTTCTTTTACGGCTCTTAAGGCCTTAGACCATGCGTCAAACACAAGGTCTGTGGGCCTGAATCTGGCCTGAAGAGCCATCTCATGTGACCCTTACACCTCTCCCGAGGAACCCCTCGTCTCTGTAGCTACAGGCATCATCCCGGTATCTTTTTTTTTTTTTGGCCAGCAATCCTCTGTAAAGTAAAAGCAATCCTAGCGACTAATTAGCTGCCAGGTTGCTTCTACAAGCCTTTCTCTGATGCCTTCCGGGACTCTCCTGTGTGATCGGGGAGCCTGAGTCTAAATTGAGGTGCTATTGCCAGCTTACCATATAGCTGAAGGGGCCCCCAGAACATCCCTGATCATCTCTATGGTATTAGAAATCAGAAGCAACAGGTATTTTGTCACATTCAGGGTTCTCCAGAAGTCAACAAAGCCATTTTTGGCTTGGGAAAGCATCTGCTCACCCCGATCTTGGTGTGTGATCAGATGCTTTTAAGGGCAGAGGAGAGATCTAGATCTCTAGACCCTAGATCTCTCAGTAAAGAGTACCTGTCATTGCTTATTGTTACATGGGATGTTTACATTCCTTGTGATAATGATGCCTGTAAATGTGATACTAACATTTATTGAGACAGTGTAAAAATAAATGTAATAAAATAAATAAAAAAAATTTCAAAGCGCCACCAACCCAACCCACCAACCCGTGTTCACACTCAAAGGTGAAAGCATACATAGGTTGTGCATGCATATGTTTGCGCCACATGTGTGAGGTGTTGCCATGAACAGCAGGGCCAGAGCAATAATTTTAGCACTAGACTTCTTGTGTAATGCTAAACAGATAACCTGTTCTACGGTCGCACGCAATTCTAAAGCATGACATGTTAGGAATCTATTTACTCAGCGGAAATCATCTTTTAGTCTAGGTTCACACCTATGCGTTTTCCCCTTCTGTTTTGCAGAAACGCACAGCAGTCCATTTAACATGATGACCTATGGGACAGGTTTACATCTCAGTGTTTTTACCCAGTGCATTTTTTTTGGAAGGGTCAGGGACTTTTTTTTAAAACACAAAACCTTGCGTTTTTGGTTCTATAGACCAGTGTTTCTCAACCTTTTTTCAGTCAAGGCACCCTTTAAAATTATGGAGGACCCCATTCTAAAATGTGAAAAACTATTCGAATTGTTTTCTATAACGCAGCAACAGCCACGCATGTAGAGCACCCAACATTAGAGATGATTTATTCTTCCAAAGCAAATACACTTTTGCACACTGGTACTAAGTAGTATTCCAGTGTTTCTCTTCTCCCTCAGTTTTTCCCCATCATTGAGCTAATGTGACCCCAGCACTGATGGAGAGGGGGGGGGGGGGTCAAACTAGGATGCTGTGCAGGCAGCTGACATCCTCCTTATCAACTGATGATGTCATTGATTGTCAGGACGCTGGTGGCTAGAAGGTGCACAATAAAAACCTGTGACTGTGTAACAAGAAGGCAGGCTTATTCCACCCGCTGGCTTTTTTTATACATTTTGCCAAGGCACCCCTGAAGAAACCTCTGGTTGAGAAAGGCTGCTATAGACTATAATAGAGACGCTGCAGAAAAGCATTTGATGAGGTTTTGATGCGTTTTATTCTGCCCAGCAACAAGTTGAAAAAAAAAAGCAGCAAAAACGCAGTAACGCATGTGCAAAAACGCAAAACGCACCGCAGAAACTGATCAAACGCAAACTGCATAGGTGTGAAGCTAGCCTTATATTTTACCAATTGGGTATTATATTGTGAGGTTTTGTGCACTAAAATTCATTACATTGTATTTTTAAAAAAGACTGAATGTATTTCTATATTGAGTTCCAGATACAACCAGCTCATTGAGGGCACCGTACTGCTGACGCAGCCCACCATGAAATCGAGTCTGACCCCCGTCTTGTTGTGTTTTCATGTTCGGGAACTATGGGCACCTCCCTCCCCCATACAACAGACAGCAGCACAGGTACAATATGAGCGGACATCTAACCATGTGGCTGCAGCCGCTGAGTGCACTCTGAGCTCTTCCTTCTTCCTGCTCAAACTGTTGTACACCTGTATCCCCGTATCATGTCCACTAGGGGTCGCCCCACGTCCAGCAGCGGCAGATGTACAGAGGTTTCCAGGCCGGATGTGTCCTGCTCTTCCGTGTAGCAGAGCGGAGTATAACCTCCAGCCAGCCCGGCTCAGGCACTGCATTCTCCTGCAGACGCCGGGCAAGGCGCTCCTCCTGGAGTGTTTCGAGTCCTAGAGCTACAGTAAATGACACTGGAAGTGTTGTCACACCATAGTAGGATCTTCACATGCAGAGTCAGTGTAGAAGACAACTCCTCCTCTTCCTCTGCTCCGCCCATCTTTACCCTGTCTGTGTGTGACACGACTACCCTGCTCGTTGTCTCCCATACTAACAATGACACTGCCTGCTCAGACACAGAGGAGCTCCTCCTGCCTCTCCTCACAGACAGCAATGGAGGGGGGACACAGAGCGAGCAGGCTGAAATTAGAACCACAGCTTCACATACACTGAGACATTATGGAGGACACCACTGCTGATCAGTCTCTGGAAAATTCCGTATGTGTGGATGTCATGGTACTGTATTGTCTCTCGTACCTCCAAGAGGGTCAGGACTTTTACATGGGGACAAACAAATGGCAGCTGCCCCAACCTATAACTGCCCTTTGAAGCAAGGAGCACATTGAGGGGAGACGCATATCAAACAAAATAAAAAAATCCCAGCTCAACATACCGAGCAGCCTGCAACCAACCAAATTGTCCTGTCTAACAGTTCACGTTTGCACACATTTGCAGATACATGCGTAAGCTGCAGAGCCACTTCATGGCACCCCAGTATCTACAGTGCCTGAGAGCCTTCATAGTAACAGCACGTGTAAAATAAAGGATGGACAGGGGGCAGGTAAGGCCGGGAGCCTCCACAGTAGCAGCACGTGTATAATAAAGGATGGACCGGGGGCAGGTAAGGCCAGGAGCCTCCACAGTAGCAGCACGTGTATAATAAAGGATGGACCGGGGGCAGGTAAGGCCGGGAGCCTCCACAGTAGCAGCACGTGTATAATAAAGGATGGACCGGGGACAGGTAAGGCCTGGAGCCTCCACAGTAGCAGCACGTGTATAATAAAGGATAGACCGGGGGCAGGTAAGGCCGGGAGCCTCCACAGTAGCAGCACGTGTATAATAATGGATGGACCGGGGGCAGGTAAGGCTGGGAGCCTCCACAGTAGCAGTACGTGTATAATAAAGGATGGACCGGGGGCAGGTAAGGCCGGGAGCCTCCACAGTAGCAGCACGTGTATAATAATGGATGGACCGGGGGCAGGTAAGGCCTGGAGCCTCCACAGTAGCAGTACGTGTATAATAATGGATGGACCGGGGGCAGGTAAGGCCGGGAGCCTCCACAGTAGCAGCACGTGTATAATAATGGATGGACCGGGGGCAGGTAAGGCCTGGAGCCTCTACAGTAGCAGCACGTGTATAATAATGGATGGACCGGGGGCAGGTAAGGCCTGGAGCCTCCACAGCAGCAGAACGTGTATAATAAAAAGGATGGACCGGGGGCAGGTAAGGCCGGGAGCCTCCACAGTAGCAGCACGTGTATAATAATGGATAGATCGAGGCAGGTAAGACCAAAAGCCTCCACAGTAGCAGCACGTGTATCATAATGGATAGACCGGGGCAGGTAAGACCGGAAGCCTCCACAGTAGCAGCACATGTATAATAATGCATAGACCGGGGCAGGTAAGACCAAAAGCCTCCACAGTAGCAGCACGTGTATAATAATGGATAGACCGGGGCAGGTAAGACCGGAAGCCTCCACAGTAGCAGCACGTGTATAATAATGGATGGACCGGGGGCAGGTAAGGCCTGGAGCCTCCACAGCAGCAGAACGTGTATAATAATGCATGGACCGGGGGCAGGTAAGGCCTGGAGCCTCCACAGTAGCAGCAAGTGTATAATAAAGGATAGACCGGGGGCAGGTAAGGCCGGGAGCCTCCACAGTAGCATAACGTGTATAATAAAGGATAGACCGGGGCAGGTAAGGCCGGGAGCCTCCACAGTAGCAGCACGTGTATAATAATGGATAGATCGGGGCAGGTAAGACCGGGAGCCTCCGCAGTAGCAGAACGTGTATAATAATGGATGGACCGGGGGCAGGTAAGGCCGGGAGCCTCCACAGTAGCAGCACATGTATAATAATGGATAGACCGGGGGCAGGTAAGGCTGGGAGCCCACCACTCCTCAAAGGCACAAGGTGCTCCGGACACCCAGTATAGAGCACAATGGCCACTTTGCAACCAACCTATAGCAGTTCTGCTACAGGGCGGCAGGGATTTGCAAAATCACGTATATATATACATGATTTGCATTTCCAGGTAGGTGACGCGCGTGCTCCCTACCCGCACCGCTATTGGCTCTTTGGCATGTCAATCACCATCTCTCAGCCAGGACTCATTTACTGTTGGTGGAGCTGACGGGAGAGGTATATGTGTAAACAACAAAGATCTCTCCCCTGTCAGCACGAACAGACTGCTTTGTATTGCTCTGCACAGCAGAGCAATACAAAGCAGCATGTTCACTTAGTAAAACACAGCACACTGTTAGGGCCGGTTCACACTATAGAAACGCAGTCCAGATGCATTCCAAATGCGTTTTTGTATGTGCGTTTTGAAGCGTTCCAGTGTTTTTTATGCATTTGAGTTCAATTTTTCATCTCTTTTCCTTCAATTTAAATAAGTACATGTGCGTTCCAGTGCGTTCTGGTATGTTCCAGTGCATTTTGAAGCGTTTTACTGCATTCCAGTACAGTTCTGTGCAGGAAAAATGCATCATGTACTTTTTTTCTGCACCTGGAATGCACTGGAACTGCAAGCACTGATGTGAATTATGACATTGACAACCACATAACCTACTTTCTATGCATTTTGGATGCAGAAAAAATGCAACTGAAACGCATTTAGTGTGAACCAGGCCTTAACCCTTTGATCGCCCCAGATGTTAACCCCTTCTTGTCCAGTGTCATTAGTACAGTGTTAGTGCTTTTTATTAGCATTGATCACTGTATTAGTGTCACTGGGGATGTCAGTGGCAGTTAGTTCCCACCAAGTGTCAGAATGCCCACCGCAGTCCCACAATAAGTCGCTGATCGCTGCCATTACTATTACAAAAAGAAATCCAGTATATATACCACCGTTTGTAGATGCTATAATTGTCATGTAAACCAATTAATTTGTTCATATTGCGATTTTTTTAAGCAAAGACATGTAGCAGAATACATTTTGGCCTAAATTTAAGAAATTAGATTTTTTATATTTTTTTACTGGATATGTTTTATAGCAAAACGTCAAAAATATTGGGGTTTTTTTTTTTCAAAATTGTCAGTCTTTTTTTGTTAATACCAAAAAATAAAAACGCACAGGTGATCAAATACCAACAAAAGAAAGCTCTATTCAGCGTTGCATGATCGCGCAATTGTCAGTTAAATTATCGCAGCGTCGTATTGCTAAAAATGGCCTGGTCAGGAAGGGGGGTAAATCCTCTGGAGGGCAAGTGGTTAAAGGTACAGGGGCGCACTGGACACCCAGCATAGAGCACAATGGCAGTTAAGGTGTCCAGTGCACTCCTCACCAGTATACTAACATTACAACCAAATGGCAGCTGCCCCGATCTTTAACTGGCCTTTGCAGCAAGGAGAACATTGAAGGGAAACGCATATCAAACAACAGGAAAGAAAAATTCCCAGCTCAACATACCAACCAGCCTGCAACCAACCAGATTGTCCTGTCCAGTTCACATTTGTACACATTTGCAAATACATGCGTAAGCTGCAGAGCCACTTCACGGCACCCCAGTATCTGCAGTTCCTAACTGGGAGTCTCCATAGTAGAAACATATGTATAATAATGGATAGACTGAGGGCAGGTAAGCATGGAGGGAGCCCACCCCTCTTCAAAAGGCACAGGGGCACACCAGACACCCAGCATAGAGCACAATGGCAGCCAGGGTGTCTAGTGCGCCCCCCACCAACATACCAACAGTACAAACGACAACTGCTCAAATCTATAACTCCTTAGGAGCAGAGGAACATGGGCTTGGAGATGTGGCAAAATGACAAACACTACAGTGTTAACCTGTCCAAATCCACTTCTGTTTTTCATTCTCTTTTTCACAAGGAGATCTGAACACTGTAAATGCTTTAAAAACACATGCTGAGCACTTTACAAACATGACTCTAGCGTTGTTGTTTTTTTTTACTTGTTTAGCAGTCATTTATGAAGCAGTGCTAATAAATTCTATCAAGGCAGCAGGCTGCAGCAAGACCTAGAGAACATGTCCTGCCTTATATGCTCATTCACACTTGCCTCAATGTCTGAAGAGTGACCTGCATTTGGATCGCTCTTCAGAGAGGATTTGACAGGTGGTGAGGAGGCATTGTTCTTACCCACTCACCTAGTGGTGCATTTAGGTTTTGTGCTGCCCTAGGCTTTACAAAAAATCATGTGCAAACCCCCATCCCCAGCTAGCATCTCCCCTCCCACAGGCAGGGCCCCCTCTCCCATCCACAGCCAGCACCCTCTGGTCAGCTCTCCCCGGATCCCCTCACAGACAATGGGCAAAGCAGAGCTCCGGCTGCTCCCAGGCTGCACTCACCATCCAGCCGCTCGGCCCCTCCTCTTTACCAGCTTTGGCCAGTGTGTGCCCTGCAGAGCCGGCGGCTACCGCCCTCGTGGATCAGATCCCATGTAGTGGAGACTGCTGCAAGCAAGCAAGCCTGCAAATATAACGGCTCCTGTGTGCCACTGCTGGGGGGCGGCACTACCCCCCTGGAAGATGCTGCCCAAGGCAAAAGCCTTTTTTGCCTTGCGGTAAAAACACCCCTGCCCTCACCTCCTGCTTTAGCCCCTTCCAACTCCACTCTAGCATACGGTATCTGCATGCATTGTGGTAGGGGTATGTGTCCTGTCCCAGGCGCTGCCTCTTCAGCTGCAGTGGGTGGAGGGTGACAATAAAAACGTGGCCCAACTGCAGGATTTTATTGCCCCTCAATCGCTTGTGTGAATAATCCCTTCTTGATGCAAAGTGAAGCAATGTACTCTCCTACCAGACTGCCATTGTTTTCATTACTTAGTGTGTTGGCCAGCAGTATGAGAGCATTATGTTTTTGCCATACCACTTAGCCTACATG